ATGAAACATAAAAAAGAGCTCCACATTCATGGTGCTTTGAGCATTCTTAAGCCTATAAACAACATTACCACATTCCATTGATAATTAGTTAGCTACAAAAGGCCCAAATTGAAAAAATTGGCTCAAGTTTGATGGTAGATTAAAATAATCCAAACACGGAGACTAAACCGAAACTGTAGAGAAATATGAGGGCTGGCCATGGACAACGGCTTGTTCTTGGGTGGACTTTTAGAGAGGGGTGTTTTAACGGCCAGATTTGATGACACGTATACGATCAAGTACTAGAATATGGAAGTCAAGTTTTACACAGTAGTTTTTGTGTCGACAGCAACAACAACAACAATCGGACTGCTATAAGGAACGACACGTGTCAAACCAAGGTTTCATGGACCACAAACGTGGGGACAGCATGGGAGAACGAGCCAGAGGAATCAGACCATCTAGATTGGTATACTTGTGAGTTGAAGCTAAGGTGGGGACCAGTTAGGATTTGACCTCCTTTTTTTTGTCCGCTGTCGCGAGCGGTCTTTTAGGCTTTAGGCTCTAGGTTGCGGAGGGAGGGAAGGGGAGGAGGGTGGTCCTCCCCTGCGGTGGGTGGATAAGGAGGGGGGGTGTGCAGCCATGCAGGCCCAGCTGACGATGTCTGGTGTCTTTCTGAACTGGACCCTGACGTACAGAATGGTCCCCTCTTATTAAGAGCCTGTGCTAGCGTGGTCCCCCTATATTTAGGGCAGTATGCAATCTATTTAGTCCTAGGATGGACTTGGATTTATGTGCCCGCAAGGCATCTGGCCAAAAAAAATTTCGGGTAAAAAACAAAACTCATACTGTACAAGCGTGTTTTAAAAAAATTCAAGAAAAATGAGACTTGGATGAAAAACTCAGCAATGATAAGAGAAAAGATAACATAGTTAATTTGATTAATTTAAAAATAAATAAATTATCGGGGCCTGCAATAAAATAGGTCTTCGAAACAAAAAAAAAAAAGTGACCAAGCTAAGATTCTCTTCCATCAAATAAAAAATTGAAAAAAGAAGAAGAATGATTTGAACCCATAGGTGAGTGTGCTAAACATATAAGACAGAAAATGAAATGGGGACAATATAATATAAAGTGACAAAAAGGATGAAACAACTCAATTAAGGGCAACCATATATTATAAAAGCTAAAATCCAAAACAACTCAATACTAAAAATTAAAACATAATAAATTTTAAATTTTAAAAAAATAATTCTATAAAAAATTAGGTCAACTCAGGCAATGAGCCAACTTTATAATTTAAGTAATGAAACCGGGATAAATGAATACAAAAAAAATTAAAAAAATTATCACAAAGCCCAATATATATATATATATATATATATATACTTCAATATTTGAGGATGGAATTTAAAAAAAAAATTATTACTCAACTATAATATTTGAGGATGGAATTTAAAAAAAAATTATTACTCAACTAATCTAATATTAAAGTATAAAATTGAAAAAAATATTAATTTAAATTTTTCTTCAAAGTAAACTCAACAAAAAAAACAACAAATAAAAAAGAGTTGAAATAACCCAATCTATTTTTTAAAATTATAAAAAATTCTATAAAGAGAAAATAAATAAAAATAATATAATTCAATCTCTAATTAAATAAAATATTAAAAGATAAAATTAAAAGAAACATGAACTTTAAAGACAAAAAAAGGGTGAAGCTCCTAAACTCAGAATAATTTATAAAACTTGCAATCTATAAAATGATAGATCTAGAATTAATAAAGAACCTCAAGTTTTAATGAATTTAATATTGAAAGATAAAAATAAAAAAATTAATTTTAAAAAATTACAGAGTGAGAAAATAGAAATAAATAAAATGTGGGTCAAATTTAATAAGAAAAAAACTTCAAGATGATGAAATTATAAGAAAATCAATTTAAAAATCCAACTTAAATAAAATAAATATAAATCAAAATAACAAGTACTAAATTTAAAATATGACAAAACTAAAAAGGGATGAAATAAAAAAAATTCAAATTTTATAAATTATTCTAAATAAAATATATAATAAAAAATGAACCCAATATAAAAATAATAATAAATAAAATGGTTGCTTTGAATTATTGAAGGGGCAAGAGTAGATATTGAAGAGAAGAAAGAAAAAAAAACAAATAAATAAAGATTATCGATGCCAAACTAAATAGATGTTAGTAATACATGTTATCTCATTACAAAGTGAATGTTGAGACAATTCAAATATCATCTAAAACATAATGTTTGGTTACCATATAATTATGATGTGCTGCTCAAATGATACTGAGGTTGCTTATTTATTGGAGCGTGCAAAGTTTTTTTTATCCTAGTTATTAATATTTAATTAAATATAAAATGTGATAAGTGAATTTGGTATTACCAAAAAAAATGATAAAAATACCAAAGAAAAAACCTATGTGAGATGGTTTAGTAAATTTTTTCTTTAAAAATAATTAAGTAATTTTATGATATTAAAAGAATTGAAAAGATAAGAAAAGAGACATCAGTTTTGATTTTAAGGATAGCTAAGTAATTTTATTGTGAAAAAAAATAAAGAGTATTCTGCCTTCATATAATTAAAAAAAAAGAATTGAATTAATGAGAAAAAAATTATTTTGCATTCAATGTTTATTTGGAAAAAGGTTTTATGATTGAAAGGTTTTTTTAATTTTTTACTAATCTGTATGATTTTCTTATTAGTTTTTTTAGTCAATTATCGACCAAGCAAGTTCTTTGAGGATAAATAAAAAAATTAAAAAAATACTCAAATCATCAACAAATAAATGTTTTATCACGAGCAAGAGCAAGGTTCATAATACGGTTAAATATTTAGGTAAGGTTGGGGATGTAAATTAATTTTATTTTTAAAAATAAATTTTATTATTTTAAATTTTATTTTTTTAAAAAAATTAAATTGAATTTTGATCAAATAAATTAAATGATATAAAATTGGATTAAATATTTTAAAAATCTAACCTAGATTAAGGATCAAATAAATTAAATCCTAAATTAATACCAAGCAAGTGTTTTTAGGATAAATAAAAAAATTAAAAAAATGATTGAATCATCAACCAATAGATGTTTTACCAGGAGCAAAGTTCATAATACAGTTAAATATTTAGACAAGATTGGGCATGTAAATTAATTTTATTTTAAAAAATAAATTTTATTTTTTAAAATTTTATTTTTTAAAAAAATTAAATTGAATTTTAATCAAACAAATTAAATGATATAAAATTGGATTAAATATTTTAAAAATCTAACCTAGATAAAGGATCAAATCAATTAAATCCTAAATTAACCCATGAAATGAAATGTAAAAATTATACATACATATCTCTCTCTCTCTCTCTACATATACACATACACATACATATACATATACATATATATATATATATATATATATAAGCCTCACATTTTCACTTAGTACATAACCAGGTCACCACGCTCCTTATATGATGGCTTGCATAATCTTACAATGAGGCGACTTTCTTCATGGTATTATAATTAAAATAAAAAAGGAATCAGTGAAATATTATCGGCTTTGAGGAGATTTATTGTTTATTCCAATAGTGGTTTTTTTTTTTTGGTCTTAAGATTTTTTATGCTTGGAACTTTTTTTTATCTTTATTTGGTCATTTGACACTGGTTTGATTTACAATTGGTCCTGGGGATTTATTTTCTATCCATGCATATAGGGGTTTTTAGGTGGAAATATTCCGTGGCTAAATTAATTTTTGGTTTTACAAAATAAAATTTTATTTTATTTATTTAAAATAATCAGTGCTTTAAAAACTAAATTTAAAGGCTAAAGAAAGGCTTGGCTTGGCTCCTTTTTGTCAGACAGCATCAAGGACTTATTTGCCTAATTGGAAGAAAATTTCATGTTTTTTTTAGTTTGATCTTTTTTTTTTTTTTTAATTTGATCCTTTCTCATTAATTTTATTTGAGAGTTGACTAAGGGGTTTGATTTGACTATCTTAATATGAGAATCTTACAATATCAAGATAAATTTATAATGCTTAGTTGATTTTCTTTTTTTTTAAATAAAATTCAGCTAGTTTAGACCAATTACATATTAAGAGATTAAAATTAAAACCAAAATAAATATGTAGATTGGAATAAATAGACAAGGCAAACATCATCCATCATGTTTAGGCAATACGTGAGTGGTCGTCTAACGTCCAAACATTGATTTTCATGGTAATGGTAGAATCATCTCACTTTTATTTTGATAATGATTCAACATGTATTGTTGAAAGAATGGTAATGGAACTCAAGTGACTTTTTTTCCTATGATTTAATTGTGAAATTAGCAGGTTGACTTGATTTTTTTTTAATTTGGTTTATTTTTTTTCACTTTTAGGATTTGATTTTCTAGGAATCAACTTTTAAATTTTATTGAGATATGAGAGTCTGCAGGTGTGGAATTGTTCTAAAAAAAATGCTACTAATTAAAGGTTAATTAACATATATGTTGAATATCCAAAACTCTGAAGAATGGTTTTGCAATACTTTTAGACCCCTTGTTGAGTATCATTCCATATTCCCTCTTATCTTCTCATTTTCTAAAAGTTCTAATTCACTTCTCCTCTTTTCTTTTCTTTTTATTTATTATTATCTCTTTATTTTTATTTTTGAGTTGCTTGAGGTTGAGATTTTCAATGTTGAGATTAGTCTCTCATCTTTTTCGATTACACTATGCTCTTTGAATCTTTTCTAGTATATAATAAAATTATAGGTGGTTGAATCATGTCAAAAATTTATTTTTAGTAATTCTTTTTATTTTTGTGAATTATTGAAATACCATCAACGCAAAGAATAAAATTGAGTTAAAACAGCAGGGGATATTGGATTTAAAGGAAACAATTTTGGAATACAAATTTCATTTATAGAATTAAAGCTGCAACAAACCGAGACCAGATTGTTTATTTGACCGTTAAGGAGAGGTGTAATTTCCACAACACATCCTGGTAAATTAGCTACTGGTGTCCAGCATTAGCTACGCCTGCTGGAGTTCCAGGAGTTGGAATGCCCGGAATTTGGGGTGGTAGAGGGGGTTGAGACAGCCTTGGAATCTGGAGCGGACTTGGAAGTAAAGGCCCGCCTGGGATTTGGGACAGTGGAGGTGACCCCGATACCCCGGGCAAACCTGGAATTGACGGTAAGCCTGGAATCTGAGGTAGTGGAGGAAGTAAAGGTAGCCCCGGAATATGGGGCAAACCTGGAATTAAAGGTAGGCCTGGAATTGCAGGAAGTGGGATTTTGGGCAGGCCGGGAATCTGAGGCAAACCTGGAAGTAAAGGTAGGCCTGGAATCGGAGGTAGTGGGATTTTAGGCAGGCCGGGAATCTGAGGTAAACCTGGAAGTAAAGGTAAGCCTGGAATCGGAGGTAGTGTAATATCAGGCAGGCCAGGTATCTTAGGCAATAGTGGCAACTGAGCTAGCCCTGACTGGACCAACAGGGTGCTATATGCTGTCCATAGCAAGACACGAGCAATTACTTGAACTTTGTTCATCATGGTTTGTATCAAAATTAGATCTTCTTCCCAGTAAGACGCAAAGAAGATAGGTGTGGACTTGGTGATGCAATGTGAGAGCGACCAAGAATTTAAAAGAAAAATGGAGATGGAATAACATAATTTCTTCAACCGTTTTTGCAAAAGCTTTTAATTAGTAATAGAAGTTATCAGATTCAGAATTAATTGATAATAAATCACCTGCAGTTTCTTTCAAGAGTTCTTTTATGCATTGTGTAACCTCAAGATTCATTGATAGCTAATGCTAAGCTTTATCACATTGAGTTCTTCTAATTAGGATACTGAATATGTTTGCCTACTCAAATCAACAACAAGGAGAAATCAAACCTAAAAAAGTAAATAAAGTAAAACATTCTTAATTGCAAAAATTAACCAAACCAAAGAAAGCAAATCAAAGTAAAATATTACTAACAACTCAACATAAAAGATTAAAGAAAAGAACTGGCCTGTAAAGGTTTCAAGGACTGAAGTGTTCTTTTAAGATAAGAAAGTGCATGTTGTTTTGAAGTTGGAGATAATGAGGGGCCCAATGGCCATAGTGGGCAAGGACAAGGCGACCTAAGGGAATTGAGTCCGAGCAGAGGGTGGAAAGATATTGGAGAGAGTCCGATGAGGCCGGAAGTAATTGGAGCATGCGGAGTAGTCAAGAAAGACATTTATCTGATCTTATTTATCAAAAAAAGCAATAGTGATCTGTAATTATATTTATCTGATTAGGGAATTTTCTTTTCAATCATGTGAGAGATAGAGAGCTGGTCAAGATCTCGTCTTCTTTTGAATTTCATGCTGTAAGTTTGAGACATGAGTAAAAACTTCATGAACAAGATATATTGTTAAAATACAAAGATTAAAACATTAATGTTTGTGTAACTAAAAAAAAATACTTTTAGTTGATATGCCAGTAGATGTTGCTGGTAAGCTTTATATAAAAAAGTTCAACAAAAAAAAAACATTTAAAAGAAAAGTTATTGTTACGAGTGATTCGCACTATTTTACTTTATTTAAGTTTGATTTTAATTAATATGCACCGTTTCTAATAGTTGTAATCTAGAAGGCACAAGACCCTGCATAAATGTCTTTCCGCATGCTCCAATTACTTCAGAATGATGAAATTATAAAAAATAAATTTAAAAATCTAGTTCAAATAAAATAAATATAAATCAAAATAATAAGGATTAAATTTAAAATATAACAAAACTAAAAATAGATGAAATTAAAAAAATAACAATTTTATAAATCATTTTAGATAAAATAAATAATAAAAAAACATGAAGAAATAATAAATAAAATGGTTGCTTTGAATTATTCAAGGGGCAAGAGTAGATATTGAAAAGGAAAATAAAAAATAAATAAAGATTATCGATACCAAAGTAAATGAATGTTAGCAATATACGCCATCTCATTATAAAATAGACATCGAGACAATTCATAGCACTCAAAAAGCGATGTTTGGTCACCATATAACTATGCATGTGCTATTTTTATGATGTTGAGGTTGCCTACTTACTAGAGCGTGCAACATTTTTTATCTTAGTTATTAATATTTGACCAAATACAAAATGTGGTGAGTGAACTTGGCATTAAAAAAAAACATATGATAAAAATACAAGAAAACCCTACGTGAGATAGTTTAGTAAATTTTTTTTTTAAATAATTAAGTAATTTTATTATATTAAAAGAATTGAAAAGATAAAAAAGAGACATTAGTTTTGATTTCAGGGATAGGGATAGCTAAGTAATTTTATTGTGAAAAAACCTAAAAGAGTATTCTGCTGGCATGTAATTTAAAAAAGAGAATTGAATTAATGTGAAAAAATTGTTTTGCATTCAATGTTTATTTGGAAAAAGGTTTTATGATTGAAAAGTTTTATTGATTTTTTTGTTAATATGTATAATTGTTTTTAGTTTTTTTAGTGAATTACCGACCAAGCAAGTTTTTTCAAGATAAATAAAAGAATAAAAATACTTGGATCATCAACCAATAGGCGTTTTACAATGAGCAAAGTTCATAATACGGTTAAATATCCAGATAAGGTTGAGCATATAAATTTATTTTATTTTAAAAAAAATTAAAATTATATTATTTAAAATTTTATTTTATTTACAAAATTAAATTGAATTTTGATCAAAATAAATTAGATGGTAGATTAATCATCTAGATAGACCATATAAAATTAGATTGAATTTTTTAAAAATCTAGATCAAAAATCAAATCAATTAAATCTGAAATCAACCCATGAAATGAAATGTAAAAATTATATCTGCGATATATATATATATATATTCCTCACATTTTAACTTTGTACATAACTAGGTCACCATGCTCCTTAGGGCTTGCCTAATCTTATAATAAGGCTACTTTCTTCATGGTATTATAATTAAACAAAAAGAAATGAAATTCATGAAATATTTTCACCTTTGAGGAGATTTATTGTTTATTCCACCAGCGGTTTTCTTTTTTTTTGGTCTTAGGATTTTTTATGCTTGGAATCTATTTTTCTTTCTTTCTTATTTCATCATTTTACACTATTTTACACTGGTTTGATTTATAATTGATCCTTGGAATTTATTTTCCATGCATGCATACAAAGGTATTTAGATGTGGAGAAAATATTATGTAGCTAAATTAATTTTTAGTTTTGCAAAATAAAATAAAATAAAATTTTATTTATTTAAAATAATTAGAGCTTTAAAAACTAAATTTAAAGGCTAAAGAAATGTTGACTTTTTTTAGACAACATCAATGACTTATTTGCCTAAGTGGGGGAAAGGTTCATGTTTTTTTTTTAATTTGATTTTTTTTTTAATTTGATATTTTTATTTAAGAGTTGGCTTAGTGGTTTAGTTTGGCTATCTTGATACGAGAATCTTACGATATCAAAGGAAGTTTCTAATGCTAAGTTGATGATCTATTTTTAAATATAAAATTCAGCTATTTTAAATAATATTAGAATGATATCTTTTCATTGTATTCACAAACATTTATTTTTTGAGTTGATCATTGTTAATTTTTTTATTTAGTTTGATTTCTTTACTATCATTGCCATTTTTTTTTGACTATATTAGTAAATTAATTGAATTTATAAAATCTAATTAAATTAATAATTCAAATATCAAATTTATCTTATCTTCTTAAAAATACTCATGTTATCTTAGCATTATAGATAACATTATTTTTTATGCTACAAACCATCAATCTAGTTCATTACCGTAACTAATTTATTATAGCATCCCATACATGTGTGTGTATATTTATATTTTGTTGGAAGTAAATATTCATTAAGATAGCATTTGGTTAATATTAAAAAAATAAAAAATAGAAATAAAAAGAACACATGCAAAGATATAAAATAAATTTATTTTTGGAATAATTTTAAAGTAATTTTTTGTCTGACCAAAGAAAATAAAAAGATATACCTCTTTGTCCTCCTATTTCCATTTTTTCTGGTTTGAGATCATAAACTAAAACGCTGTACCAAGTCTTATTAATTGTTAAAAATTAATAATTGTTGTTTTCAATGTAAAATGATAATAATTCTACAAACTCATTAAAGGTGTAATTGAGTCTATAGGTGTGGAATTGTTCTAAAAAAATGCTAGTAATTAAAGGTTAATTAACATATATGCTGAATATCCAAAACTCAGAAGTATGGTTTTGCAATACTTTTAGATCCCTTGCTGAGTATCATTCCATATTCTCTCTTATCTTCTCATTTTCTACAAGTTCTAATTCACTTCTCCTCTTTTCCTTTTCTTTTATTTATTTATTTATTACTATCTCTTTATTTTTATTTTTGAGTTGCTTGAGGTTGAGATTAGTCTTTCATCTTTTTCGATTACACTATGGTCTCCGAATCTTTTCTAATATATAATGAAATTATCAGAAGGTGGTCGAATCATGTTAAAAATTTATTTTTAGTAATTCTTTGTATTTTTGTGAATTATTGAAATACCATCAACGCAGAGGATAAAATCGAGTTAAAACAACAAGGAAGATTGGATTTAAAGGAAACAATTTTGGAATACAAATTTCATTTATAGAATTAAAGCTATGCAACAAACCGATACTAGAGTGCTTATTTGACCGTTAAGGAGAGGTGTAATTTCCACAACACATCCTGGTAAATTGGCTATTGGTGTCCAACATTAGTTATGCTTGCTGGAATTCCAGGAGTTGGAACGCTCAAAATTTGGGGTGGTGGAGGGGGTCGAGGCAGCCTTGGAACCCGGGGCAGACCTGAAAGTAAAGGCCCGCCTGGGATTTGGGATCGTGGAGGCGGCCTTGGTACCCCAGGTAGATGTGGAATTGAAGGTAGGCCTGGAATATGAGGCAGTGGAGGAAGCAAAGGCAACCCCGGAATCTGGGGCAAACCTGGTATTAAAGGTAAGCCTGGAATAGGAGGTAATGGGATTTTGGGCAGACCGGGAATCTGAGGCAAACCTGGAAGTAAAGGTAGGCCTGGAATCGGAGGGAGTGTCATATCAGGCAGGCCGGGTATCTTAGGTAATAGTGGCAGCTGAGCTAACCCTGACTGGACCAACAAGGTGCTACATGCTGCCCATAGCAAGACACGAGCAATTACTTGAACTTTGTTTGTCATGGTTTGTATTAAAATTTGATCTTCTTCCCAATAAGGCGCAGAGAAGATAGGTGTGGACTTGGTGATTCAATGTGAAAGCGGTCAAGAATTTAAAAGAAAAATGGAGATGGAATAACATAATTTCTTCAACCGTTTTTGCAAAAGCTTTTAATTAGTAATAGAAGTTATCAGATTCAGAATTAATTGATAATAAATCACCTGCAGTTTCTTTCAAGAGTTCTTTTATGCATTGTGTAACCTCAAGATTCATTGATAGCTAATGCTAAGCTTTATCACATTGAGTTCTTCTAATTAGGATACTGAATATGTTTGCCTACTCAAATCAACAACAAGGAGAAATCAAACCCAAAAAAGCAAATAAAATAAGAGATTCTTAATTCTATACAAATAGCAAAAATTAATCAAACCAAAAAAAAGCAAATCAAAGTAAAATATTACTTAACAACTCAACAAAAAAGATTAAAGAAAAGAACTGGCCTGGAAAGGTTTCAAGGACCAGAGTGTTCTTGTAAGATGAGGAAATGCACGTTGTTTTGAAGTTGGAGACAGTGAGGGGCCCAATGGCCATAGAGTGGATTGATGAGGCGACCTAGAGAACTGAGTCCGAGCAGAGGGTGGAAAGATGTTGGAAAGAGTTCGATCAGGCCGGAAATAACTGGAGCATGTGGAGTAGTCAAGGAAGATATTTATCTGATTTTATTTATAAAAAAAATGCAATAGTAATCTATAATTATATCTATCTGATTGGGGAATTTTTTTTCCAATCATGAGAGAGAGAGAGCTGGTCAAGAGCTCGTCCCCAATCACGTGAGAGAGAGAGAGAGCTGGTCAAGAGCTCGTCTTCTTTTGAATTTCATACTATAAGTTTGAGACATGAATAAAACTTCATGAACAAGATATATTTTTGAAAACAAAGATTAGAACGTTAACGTTTATGTAACTAAAAGAATTTACTTTTAGTTGATAAGCCAGTAGGATACTTGGAGTTGCTAGGGACAAAGAACAACGTCTCCATGACTGTTTCTTCGGATAAAACATGTTTCTTGGTAGAGGAAAACCAGTGGAACTACCACCTTCCATCTTATGCAGTGCACAGCTGCAATTGCGATGGTAAGGCCTTCGCTCAATCTCCATGTTGTCTACTGATATGCATCCGTCGAAGACACAGCGAAACATTATGTCAGATGCTGCTATAAACATGCTCTCCTCTGTCGTTGCCTTCCAATCTTCTTTCTAGCTGTAAAGGTATGTTTGTTGGAAGATTTGTATTTCAATGTGTCTATTTTATGACTGTAAATGTGTTGAAAGTTATGAGTAATTCTGCGAAGCTTTTATATAGAGATGGGAACTAGAATTCATGAAAAAGAATATAGGATTAGGCGACATGAAAAATGTTAGGTGCTTGCAGTTTTGGAAAAACAATTTACAGGATATGTCAGAGAACAATAAAACATCCATTTTAGATTTTATCTAACAACTTAAGTTTTCAAGTTGAGATTTTTTTTTATTAAACAGTTATAAATTTGAATCTTGACAACATGTTCAAATCTCTCCATCCTATTTTCTATTGTTTGTTCTGATTGCTTGAAATTGCAGTCTTTGTTTTGGGTCTTAGGAATGATTCTTCTGTAGGAATGCCTTCTACCCAAGATGCCATCTTTATCGTTGCGCCAGAGGTAGGGAACTACTTTGGTGCAACAAAGGATCCTAGAATAAAATCAATATTCTTCACGTGATTTACATAGAAGCCGAAACCATTGTTTTGGATCTGTTATATGGTTCTTGATTTTAACTTATGCAGCTCTTTGTTTGCAATCTTGACCGAGAGTATATCCTACACTCTAAAGCATCCATTTGATTGATATCTCGAGGTGTTATTTTCATCAACTGAAATCACAATTCGTTGTACAGTGTTGTTTTCTGCACTTCACTGTTCCGTTGAGTTGATGAAGTTCATATAGGCTGACTTCATGAATAGGCATTTTTTTTCCGGTTTCGACAGGTCTAGTATACCCCTATGTTTAATGAGCTCATTTGTGCAGGCCATGACTATTACACTGTACAGTGTCCCCATCTCCTTTTTCTTGCGAAAAACAGGGATTGCATTGTTTACAACGTGAAAAGTTTGACCTCAACTTAGCAGCAGACAATGTAGGCAATGCTGGGGGTGTTAGAAGAAACACAGCAGCGAATTTTCTTCATTTAATCTTAAACTATCCATAGATTTTCTAACCCACCCTGAGCCCTCATACGGATAAAAATTCGAATTATTGGGTACCTGTACAGCATCGCTGCGTAGCATATAGCCATTGTTGTTTCAGAATTTAACAATGCCATGCAGTGGTCCCTGAATCCTGATTATGAACCCTGGCACGGTTTTCTGCCAAGGAATCTAGCAGTCTTTAAAAAGACGGTATCAATAACTCAAGAAATGTAATTCCGCGTCTTTGTACTAAAAAGAGTGGACTATGTCATTTTAGACAATGACCATGTTACGCCACTTTCTTTACTGAATATCTGGAAATCGAATTCCATGTATATAGTCCTAATCCTATACAGTATTGTTGTGGATTCTAAAATCGGAGTGAGGAGAGACTATGAAGAAATATAAACACTCAATTACAGTTGTCATTTGTTGTGTCCGAAGTACTCTCTGAAAACAGGGATCCAATATGCTGGATTGATGAATCATCAGCTGTATAAGATGAAGTTGGGGAATGATTTCTTCCTTTGCTGAGGACAATCATCGGGACAAATATCTTTTAACTTGTGGAGCACATTTACAGTTGCGATGGTATTGCCCTCGCCTGATCTCCATGTCATTCAACGAAATACTTCGACTAAAGATACATCGAAATATCATCTCAGCAGCTCCAGTAGCCGTTCTCTCATCCCTTCTTCACTGCAGAATCCGCTTTGTTTCTGTAGGTAGGGATGCAGTGTCAAGTGTGTGTGATTTTGAGTTTTTTCTAAAGCCTTTGTGTGCTTTCTTGGTGCTTTATATAGAGCATGGATAGTGTTATCAGAAGCAGTAACCTAGGGAGAACATTTGCTTGATGGTGATTCTGAGTGAACCATAGTAAGCTTGGTCTCGTCGTTCTTTCCAGAGTCATTACAGAACCAAGACAACCCGTGTATTCCTATAGGGTCTTTTAGATTTTAGTTCTTGATGGAGGCAGCTCCTTATTCTTACTACAAGAGAGTTAGAATTACAGGGAAATTAGGTGAAAGGTTTCTAGTATAATTTGGTTTGGATCTAGAATTCTTATGTTTTAGGATTTCTTCATTGTTCTCTCCATGGAAACTTAATCGTTTCTAACTTTCTTCTGAAGTTATTCTAATTTTGTGACTTTCTGTGATTTCGGCTACCATTTCTATGCAGCCAAGCATCTATATTTCCTGACAAATTGCGTCTGGACATATAGCTTTCTTTCTTCTGTTTTTTGGTGTTTGATTGTGCCTGGAAAAAGCGAGATCTTTTTTTGGGTGTTTGATTGTGCCTGGAAAAAGCGAGAGCTATTCGGTACATGCAGGAGTTTCCGGAAGTAAGAACATTTCAAGGAACAATGTCCCCCTCTCCTCACTTTCATTTTGTTGAAACTGAAATTTGAAGACCTCCTAACTGGGAGCTGCAGGAAGATTGTCCTGTTCCCAGCTAGCTTCTGCTTTGCATTTGATTCCATCCACTAGCTATGGACAAGGAAGGACCCCACATATTAATAAGATCAAGAGGCTTTTTTATTCTTCAGGGATCTATTGAATTATATTTATTGCTTCAGCTTAGTTCGCCTTCATGATGATGATGATCTCTTACAGACTCGATGATTCTAAATGTCAGTGAGTTACCCAGCATCCCCATGTGGAGAAGTGCAAACTAAGGTCCACGCTTAGTTGGGAGTTCTTTTGTTGAGCGATGAGGTCAGAAGTCTGGATTCCCTTCCCTTCGCTGTGCATGGTACAAAATTGCCTCCTTTTGCTAGAAGAAGGTAAAGCCTAAAAAGATGAAGTTCTTGACCATCAAGTATTACTCCAAAAGGCATGGTTTTTTTTTTTTGTAATTATTGTATAAGACTTTGTTGTTGATCTTCTTATGTATTATTATAAATAGATTGTGTATAATTTTATATTTTTTTAATTTAATTTTTAAATTTTTTTTGTTAATTTACTCGTAATTAAATTTCAACCAATGGTAATTTACTCGTAATTAAATTTCAACCAATTTTGATTTCTCATGAAAAGATGGGATTAAGAGAAGATAGACCCAAATAAAAAGACACCAAACATGTGATGTATGCCAAAAATTTTGTAAAAAATACACTTTAAATGTTGAACTTTAAAAATTGTGTAAATTATATAATTTCAATATCTTTATATTTTTTAAATTCAATTTTAATATATAGTTTATTTTTGTTATTTTTTAATCTCTAGTTAAAAGAGAAGAGAGAAAAGCCATTAAATTATGATGATAAATAAAAAGAAAAGTATCATTGATACTGATTTAAACTCATAGTTTATCTTTTTTATTTTTTTATTTCTAGTTGAAAGAGAAGAGAGAGAAGTCATTAAATTATAATGATAAATAGAGAGAAAAGTATCATTGATACTGATTTAAACTACCAAAATGAAAGATACGTGTGTCAAATGGTTTCATTCGATGAAAAAATTTTATATCAAGTGTTTTTTTTTATCTTTAAAAACATGTGGTGTTTTTTTTTATCATGGTTTTTATTGTGTTTTATAGATGTTTTGAATAAAAAATAGGTTGAAAATAAATTTTTTAGTTGAAAAACAACTTAAATTCTATTTTTTTTATAACTACAATGGCTGTAATTAATTAAATTAGATAAAGTATCATCTAATTTTTTTAAAAAAATAATTGGGGTGAATGATTGCAAATAAAAAAAAAATTTAAAAACTCAATAACACAAGCCTTTTAGGACACATTCACCTGATAAAATAGGCCAAGAGAGCTGCTGGCTTTTCTTTAGGGTTTTTTTAGATTTTTTAACCTATAAATAGTTTTATTATTTTGGTTTTTTTATATATGTTTTATTA